TAGAACAGCGTACATTTATGACAGTAGAATTGAGAATATGAACTACACCATAAGCGAGCAACATGATTTAATCGTGAAAAATCGCTATCCAGCGGCTATTAATAGAACAGTTTATGTTTCACCGAAGACCGAACTATATGACGAAACGTCGTCGGGGCCACTTGTGATTGCATATGCAACGACATTGATCTTGGGTGAAACACCAGCAAATTATGGCTTTTAAATGAATGTTAAAAATCAGGATAAAGCCATTCATTTAAGGGAACATATTTTTGAAATGTTACACAATAGAAAGCTGTCACCATTTCCGCGGTAATTTTGAAAAAATTTCAAATGTGGTTTCCATATATTTTTCAAGTGACTTTTTTCTCTCCGAAACAGATCTCCGCGTCTGGATATGAAGTATATTGCTGACTCTTTCAATAATATCCATCCCGATATATTGCAAAAGATCACGACACCAGATCAACCCTTCAACGTACGTACAGTCATGCTGTTCAATAGATTGGTCGAGGCTACGACTGATTTCGATATGGTTTCCACATTATTCTACCAGTATCCCGAATTAGTACCCGTTCATAATTCCACCAAAAATGACGTTCAAATCTTATATGCCCAACAAAACCGATGGAAAGCTCATGCGCTTTGTATATTTTATGAAGCCGCTAATCAAATGGTGTATGTCTATGACAGGGAATATATTAATATAACTTCAGCAAAATCGGATTTTATAGAAAGGCGTTATCCAAACTTGAAAAATATTACTTTTGTCGAACCAAAAACAATTCAAATGGATTCTGTATCATGTGGAGCATATAGCATTGCATACGCAACCACATTGATCCTAGGTCATGATCCAAGGACTTATAAACTTAAAACTAGATCTTTGCTTTCGAGTATATGTGGGTCGAGCATGTTTGATGATCCAAAAATGTTACGAAAACATATTTTGAAAATGTATAAATCAAAAAAATTATTGCCATTCCCCAAGTAAATTACATCATCGACGTCATGTCACTTTAAGTCGGTAATGTGCGAGGGACTTACTCTCCTTTGACATCCGAGATTTTCCATTTTACACTACGTACATTACTGCTTTAAATTTCTTGGTTTTAATGAGGTTATTGTTATTTACTCTTTTCCAAGCAAAAAAAAATACTAATCATAATAAAAATCTGAAAAAATATCCTTTTGATCGCTTTTCACTTTGAACAACAATATCTTATTTTCATTCAAATCGTGGCTAGACAAAATATATTTAGGTAAAAAAATCTATACGCTTTTCCAAATGTTGATACAGTAAATTTCAGTTCATTGAAAAAACTGAATATTTCAATCAATCATGACAGTGATCTGCTTATGCTATCAAAAGTAACATTTGATGGTCTTGAGGATATTTCAGTAAAATTCAATGTGTATAAACCGAATTACGCATATCAATGGTCAAACTTTTTCAAAAAACATCCGTCTATCGAAAAAATCTATTTGGAATCGTACGAAGACATCAACGAAAGCACCATAACTGCATTCGCATTGGAATTTCATCGTTTAAAGAATTCAACAATTAATCAGACTCCTAGTCAGGAGCTATGAATGGTTCCCTAATGGGTAGGGGTCCGCGAAACCTAAAATATCTCTTTACAATAAATGCGATCCGAAGTAGTCAAAGGAATATCTGCAACGTCTTTATTGCCAATGAAACAGCTTTTCCTGTACAGAACTGAAAAAATCGAAGCATAAATAAAACACCAAAGTATATATGTATTTGTATTTTATTCACTTAAATCGAAATTCCAGGATTCGTGTGGAAGAGCTCAATATTGAGTTTTTTTTTTCATATTTGGCATTGTGCCTCAATAAAAGAGTATCAAAATATAATCTATAAATAAATCTGCAAATTGAAAAAGAAATCAACTCAGCATCATATCTATGAAACTTTCCATTCAACTGACTCTTTTGCCAACTTGGGATTTTAAAAAAGATAACATATGTTTACGATTTCATGTTGGAAATCGATTTGGTTCAGAGCTGTTATAGGCACCGGGGAGGAGCTCTTTCTTGTATTTAAAAGTTAAAAGGTTTTATGGTCTCATTAGTGCCCGAATCTCTGCGGTGCCAATATCGGCTCTGATTTGATTATATGTATATAATATCATGGTTTCATAATAAGAAAATTATGCGATTCGAAGCAAAACATATGACATGGAAAGTGCGTATGTTTTGTTTTTAGTATTTAACAGCACTGCCAGCGCTACTGATGGCCAACAAAGCTTTGCCGCACAGTGCTTTGAATGCCTTTGTCTCGTTCATATGAATTGCTTCTCCTACGTTACGCTTGTGCTCGAAGATATCCTGAATACACATTTTGTTGTTTGTCCAACGTTGCGGTTGCGAGTCTATCAAACCTTTGAATCTGTTGGGAAGAAATCGAATGAAAATAATTGAAATTGAGTGAATTATAAATTAAATTTTTTTCGATTGATTTTATGACGGACAATGACAGTTGCTTGTTGGCATTGAGATGACGTTAGGCTCTATTTCCTGAGCATCCGATTTATTGAAATCGTCGAACAAATCGTTCGCCGATCATGATCGTGAACGATTTTTAATAATCGATGCACGATTTAAATCGGACAGCTTTAAAAAAACACTGACGAATGGATAGTTTCGTTTTGCTAGAGCAACTTTTATTCGACACATCACTCAATCATCATTGTCCTATGTATAACAACCGCAAAAGTAAAAGAGAAAGCGATACGAAATATGGTTCCCGAAGGAGAGATAGATATCAGTATCACACTACAATAACTTACCGTTGCATAGAACGAGATAATGAATCAACGGGACAGTTACGGAACATCTGACTAATTTCTCGTCCTTCAAACGGACTGATGATTTGGTTGAAAAAGTCGAATTTCCAATAGTACTCGAAGAAACCGATGAGTAAATCACGTATACGATCCTTGCAAATAGCAACATTTTTCGGCTTGCTGAAGTTTACCATATTTTCTATTTGAAAGAAAAAACCATTAGTTACAATTTTGAATCTTTTTTTTTTAAATACAAATTGTCAAGTTTTGCAGTACACACAAAATACACTTACCGCCACATTTCATAACTTGATTTGTTTGCAAGCTCAAGATGGATGGTAACTTTTTTGCAATTTGCAAATAGAAAATGACCAACAAAGTCACCACATAGCCGGTAAAATGTTTAGCCCAATCATCAATCGCGCCTTCTTGCAATGCCAATCGAACACTGATCACCAATTGACGAGCTAAAATATTTGGTAACATAAACACAGTGAAAACCCAATAAAACATGACGTTCGAGAAAAAAATTTCACATACCAACTGGTTGTGCTTCGAATAATGTGGAAATGATATCACTGTTTCGCACAGCGACTCCAGTACCAAATCGAAAATTACATTCCCAGTTTGTGGACGAATTTGTTGCCGATAATATACCATATCGACTTTGTTCGGAGCATTTTGCGTTGAACCAATCGCAACTCTCTTGCAATAGCTTCAGAGTTTCGTCCATTCCGGCTACAAATACTTGACCCCTTCGGTCAGTATTGAAGCTGTCATCTGAGGATAAAAGTATGAAATATTAAATGGAAACAGTAGTTAAGGAGATTTTTCAGCTTCGCAGTTTACTCACGTAAATCAAGATAAATGTCCAACGGTGCACGGCCACCTTTGGCAATCTTATATTTATGCGATCCGATCACATGGCACTTCATCTTTTTGAATTTTTCTCCCAGAGTGCTTTCAACCGATTCGATTACACTCGCTTTTAACGCATCTCTTCTAGCGTGTCCATTTTCTTTTTCCAATGAAGAAATCAGTGCCGATAAATCAATGGAGAAAAATTCTGCGAATGAAAAAATGAACACAATTCTTAATTAAGCCATTTTTCAGTACAGTTAGTGTGGGAGTTGTATTTTTTTTTGTGAAATCGAGGTGAATTTGGACATTTTTCAACACAAATTTTTTTCTCACTCTTCAATTTTTCATCGTTAATTAAGTTTTCGGTCAGTTTATCGCCGGTTTTGGGTTCAGCTGCCTTCTCCGCTACTTTTGGGTGTTCTGTACTCTTCACGTCTTTCTTTTGGGCATTTTGATGGGTTTGACTGGTTTTTGGAGCGTCGTTGAATCCAACCTTCTTGCCATTGGACTGTGAATTTTGTGTCGAATACTTTGGAATAGCACCTTTACTTCTCGGGTCATTCTGTGGCGGACCTGGAATTTGGACAAATGTGTGGACATTTTGTATTAAAATTATTGTCTCTTTTTCCAAAAATCGAACTGTTTTTCGTTGCTCAAAAAGAACTCACCCTTGACCGGTGCATTTCTATGTTGGCCGGTCGCTTGTGATTTGTTCTGACCATTATGACCCAATGACTGTCTGCGATTCATCTTCTGTGGATTGGCTCCATTCATCCTTGTGATACCGGTCAAATTCAATGAAGATACCGACCGTTCTGGCATTCGATGTTTTGGATGATTTGTCGCCATATTGTTGTCAAAATTAGGCAATGAATGCAAACTATTCGTCGATTCGGACTTTTTGAGTTTCGCCTCTTGATTGATCTTATCGAACAAGCCTTGCAAACCACCGACTGATTTTGCTGTATTTTCATTTGGTTTTGCTGATGCCGTAGAACGTTTTGTAAGATCCAATGAAGTGGGTCTTAGTGGGTTCGCCACTTTATTCGGATTTAAATGTGGAAACTTTAGGTAGAGATTGTTCAATTCGTAAGTCGGACACGGTTTTACACCAGTACCAGTCAATACCGCACCATTTTGGATGATACTTTGTGTCATAAATGACTTTGATATGTCCGCATCACCAATCAATTCAACGCCACTTTTTGCTTTTGCAGCACCAACAACACTTGGCACCTTCACATCACCAATTTGACTATGCGCATTTGCGGCATCAAGATCACTTGGCCTTACGTGCCAAGGAGGTATATTATAATTATCAATTGTCGAAGGCCGATTCGTATAGAAAATCGGCGGAACTGCGTACGTTTCATTTCGTACAATCGGTTCATTCGATCCGCGGTGTGTTTCTGGATGTACTCGATTTTCTGTACGAATTACTGGCTCGTTCGATGTGTTGCGCCAATTAATTGGCCCTTTTTCTGATGAAACAGCCTTTTGAAAAGCTTTAGTCGGCACATTAACAGTTTCATTCTTATTCGACGACTTGTTTGGTAAATCTGACTTACCAATCGATTCAATAAAATCATAAATGCCATCATCAAAGACATTCGGAATCGGAATTACTTTTTTTGTTTCATTATTATTCAATGCGTCATGTCCAATAACAGCTGCAACATTGGCAGCACCGTTATTGAAAGGAGCATCCCGTTTTTCTCGATTAAAGCCAAGATCTTTCAAATATGTGTGTAAAGACATCTGGAGATGAACCGGAGGTTGTACACCATCTTTTGCAACCAACGACTTTGATTTACCTAGATAGAGTATTTGAGAGTGTTTGAGACGGTTCATAAAATGTTTTAAATCTTCACTGTAGCTAATAATTGCATAAAATATTGAATCATGGAATTGGCCACTTGGCTGGACCAGCTATATTCATAGAAGTCATCAAGACTGTGATTAATTCCGTATTTTCATTAAATAATTATACCTGTGTTGTTATTCGAGTCAGTCGCAGTACCATTTGTAATTGATGCATTGCCACCGCCTTGTTTGATTTTAATCAAGTTGCCGTTATGTTTTGTATCGGCCAAATGAAGCAAGTGGCCACGGCGAGATGCTTCAAAATCAACCTTAAATAAAACGAATATTAAACATGTTTAATAATGTAATTGCAATTACCAATAATTTCCTTAAAATAATTTCCAATTTTGTTTCATGATCAGATTTGTCATGAAATTATTAAAAATTCGAATCAATCCGTGAAAAATGATCAAAAAAAATATCTGAAACTGATCTATTTAAATACTTCCTATTACAGAAAATAATTTATCACAAAAAATCTCCCGTTTCCAAACCAAATTTTATGCAATTGATTCGGTTGAAATTAAAATTAATTGAATGCTGTGCTGAAATTATCACAAACTAAATTTTCTACCAAACAATTCAATGAATGATTGTACGTCAACAAAAAAAAAAATATTTTAGTTGTTGTTTATCAATTGGAACTGGGTATTTATTTTATCATAATTGTATTCAATTTGATTGATTTATTTATTAATAAAATGTTTTACTAAGTTCTCGAAACATGTAGAGCAAACAAAGAAAATTGAAGAATTTTATTTATCAAACGGAATTTGTGAGGCAATACAAACTAGTTTATGCGAATAAATGTTGTGCATGAATTCTCATCAAAATATATTTTTCCGGCAATATAATAATAATTGAAAATCAAAAAAATAAAAATCCAAAAATGTTGTTAAAACCAAATCGTTTCGAAAAGAGAAAACAAAAAATGGAAAATTCCATGACTTACTTTGCAAATACGGCAAAAAATCGTTCGCTTAATCTCGAAAAGTTTTTCATCAAATTCACAAGGGATTGCATCATTATTACTCTCTACTTCGTCCACATTTTCGAGCAAATCGCCAATTTTATCCAGTGTACTTCCAAGTAATTCAAGTGTCACAGGATTCGCTTTATTCACTGATGCTTTATACGAATCAATTATGTCGAGGAATAGCTTTAGATTCCAATTGAAATCTTCAATCTGCAAACAATCACAAAATATGGAGAAAATGTATTGAAAAATGAGAAAAAATAGAACAAAAAACAGACAAGAATAAAAAGTAGATTATGTATTGATAGTGAGAAATGTATGAACTAAGACAACGAATCACAACAAAAATAACATAGTAGACATTGAAAAAAAGTGCGCATTTCTGTACAAAACACTTACACATAGTTTTTTCTTTGGAAAAATATTTTAGTTTTTCTTTAATTTCTTCTTTAAAAATGAATAGTTTAAAAAAAAATAGAAAAAAATAGTCACCTTAGAGAGATGGAGAATGGTTTCCATGTTTGCATTAAAAGTCGGCACGTACTCTCTATCACACTGTGTAATTTCGTTCTGGGCGCGGAGGATTATGCGATCTGTTGAGTGTTCTTTACACAAATGTTATGCATGTGGTGTATTGCACGCATTGGCAATTAGAAAAACAACGATTGTTAGTGTAATGTGAACCGGTACTTTTTCTTCGTTCAATAATCGACAAAACATTTAATCTCAATCACTTATTTCATGCGAATATAATGCGAATTTTTGAAACAAAGACGATAAACTCCATGATCAAATTTGACACACAATGAATAAGTTAACGCTATCTGTGCAGAATTGCATTTAATTTTGCTTGTGAGATACAATGAGCTGGGTGTGCATATAAAGTGCGAATACTAACGAAAAACAAAATAAAGTGACAAGAGAACAAGTGTCAAAACTTATGTACATTTCAAATACGAATTGTTCGTATGGTGAACATACCCGCAACCGACCATTAGACAATTTGTCTATGTCACAGTTGAGGTTAGATTTTTTTTGACACTTCAATCAAATATCCGTGTGTTGAATTGTTTGGTAAACGTTGTTTCATTGAATTTACAGAAAAATCAGCGAAAAGATGCGATATGCTCAATTGGTGATGGGTCCGGCTGGCTCTGGAAAGGTAAGTCTCTTCGAAATCAATAATTCGTTTCTTTCGATTCTTACTAAATTTTTGCTGTGTTGCCGAAATAAATTCCAGTCAACGTACTGTGCGAATATCCAACGACATGCTGCTGATGAAAAGCGCGTAATAGATGTGGTAAATTTGGATCCAGCCGCTGAACACTTTGATTATCAACCAATGATCGATATTCGTGACCTAATCCACTTGGACGATGCGATGTCGGATGAAGAGTTGCACTTTGGACCGAACGGTGGTTTGGTATTTTGTATTGAATATTTGCTCGAAAATCAAGAATGGTTCAAACAACAACTATGCGGTAGTGGCGATGTAGAAGATCCATTGGACTCCGATCCAGACGATGATTACATTCTATTCGATTTGCCCGGTCAAATTGAACTGTACACCCATTTAAACGTTGGCCGTCAATTGGTCGAATTGCTTACATCGTGGAACTTTCGGGTGGCAAGTGTTTTTATGCTTGATTCACAATTCATGATTGATGGTGCGAAATTTTTATCCGGCACAATGACCGCATTAAGTGTTATGGTCAATATGGAATTGCCGCACATAAATGTATTAAGTAAGATGGATTTGTTGAGTAAGTCGGCCCGAGGTCAATTGGATAAGTATTTGGAACCAGATGCACGGGCATTACTTGGCCAAGTCACAAATGAATCGGCATGGGGACGAAAATATCGTAAATTATCCGAAGCCATTGGAAATTTGATTGAAGATTTTAGCTTGGTTCGATTCACACCATTAAATTTAAATGATGAAGAAAGCATCGCCGATTTACTTTTGATCATTGATAACGTTATTCAGTATGGCGAAGATGCCGATGTTAAACAATGCGATTTTGAAGAACCCGATCCGGACGAAGCTAATGACGGTGACCCATCAAATGATTATGGTCAATTGTAGATTTATTGCTAGTTCTTAAGATACAACATAGAACCATCGAGCGTTCCAAGATTAATTCTCCAAAATTTTAAGATTTTTTATGTACAAAAAAAATAAAACATAATGGCAAAATAAAAACAAAACAATATATGATTAATTACATTAAAATTCTTTTAACAAGTTTTCGTTCATTTTTTTACGTTATTATTTTTTTACTAATAAAAAAAGAAAGGTAATCCTATGCCGTTCAGAGGAAGAGAACATTTTATAAATATTGGTACGCTTTGAGCAAAAAAAATTCAATGGAAATTTTTTAATGTTTTTTAAACGGGAAAATTCAAGTGACTTTTATTCATTTGTGTATAAATTTGATGTACTATCCAATGAAAACGGCGGTATACGACAATCGAAACTAACACCATCTTCTCGATCCATTAAAAATGTACCCCTGAAAAAATGTTTGAGAATTTATTAGTCATATGGAACACAAATTAATTTCAAAAAAAAAAAAATTAAACAATACGAATCTTTGGAAAGATTCAAAAAAAGAAAAGAACAAAATTCGAAAAATTGGAAAAAATATAAAATATTCCAAAAATATAGAAAACCCATATAACTCATTTGCGGAGTAATTTTATCGATGACGGGACTGTGCGGAGTTCGGCGGAGATAGCATGCAAATGTTGTGTGTACGAGTGTAACAGCATTCTTTGCTGTTCATAGATTTATTTTGTCCAATCGAACATCTTAGTAGCCGTACACACAGCTAAGTTACTAATCATCTACGTAAGAATGATACACATAGAAGTGCTGTTACCCTCGTACACACAGAGTTTGTATGTCATCTCCGCCAAACTCCGCACAGTCCAAAAAAAAATCCATTAAAATTGAGTTTACAAAATAAAATTAATTATTAATTAATTTAATTATTTTTTTCAGCTCAATTCTTTGGGTGTTTTTTGTATTTTAATCGATTTTAATTGCATATCCAATTAATTTAATTTTAGAATTTTAGTCAATGTCAAAAGATTCGTTGTTAATTTACGTAATAAATTTTCATATGAATTTCAAAAACTAACCACATATGGCCGCTTGGTGCTTGTAAGCTTATGTGTGATGAATATTGAAAGGCTGGCGCTCGTGAATTCAGAATCGGCTCTTGACCAACAACACCACGACCTCGAACAGTTTCCAATGTTCCGGATAATGCAAATATTCTCCAATGTCTTTCACGCAATTGTACGCTTAATTGACCCAAATTTTCCAAGCGAATGCTGTATCGCCACTGTGGGACACAGAAAATACACGTCAGTTACAGTCATTCATACTGAATATGGAAATAATTTTTGTTGGATGAAAAATCGACTATTTTTGTATACATACCCAATGAATTGGTGTACGGGCTGATTGTTTGCTTCCCATCTAAAATTAGAATTATTTAATTAGTAAAAATTTTGTATACATTTTTTTCCTAAGAGCGAAATTGAAAGTTTAGAGAAAAACTGGACTTTTAAAAAAGCGAATTCAAGCCAAAGACGGAAATTGAGAAGGAAAAACCAGTAACTAACAACACATTGTTATAGGCTTACTACATCATCTGTGAGTAGATTTGAAATTTTTTTTTTTACTCAATTAACAGTATAATTTCTAATAAGATTATAATCTCTAATTGGGGACTATTTTTAGTATTAAGCAGTTGAGAATTTTCAGAAATGCAGTAAAGATCACATATTGATGATAATTGGAAAAGTGTTTTTTGAATTGCTATTTAGGAATTGTACTGAGATATTTGGCTCAGACGTGAAATATCTGGTTTGGCTGAGCTACTATAAAATTCAAAGTGGTGTGTGTGGCGAACAAAGAAATTAGAGGCTGACAGTGAGACTACATTTTTCCAATCAAATCTCATATCCCATTTATTCATTGTGGCGCCTCTCTTTCACACAAAAATAGTAACTGTGCGCTCATTAGAAATTTCAAAATTTTATTTGGCCAAAAACACCCGAGTGCCAAATATATTAAATATATCGATAGAAGGTTATGTTTTTATTCAGCCATTACTCGCAGTTATAAGAGCTGAATAACATAGAAATAGAAATGTGATGCTATTTATCAAATCATTCATAATAATCATTGTTTGGTCTTACATAAAATGGTATCACAGTCACTCGTATATTTTCGGTAGTTTCACGATGTACTTCGGTCATTTCAAGAAATCTATGATTTTTCTGTTGCCACGCATACAGCATTTCCGTTGCTTTGAATGACACATCATATTTGCCGGTATGCTCCAGAAACTGATCAAATAAATCATGACGTAGTGGTTTTCGATCTCGGCTCCACACCGAATACGGTATAATATCATCATGTGATACATAGTCAAGACCCTGAATTGCATATAGATTTCGATTTGTTTCTTTTTTGGCTAAAAATGTAACGGCTTCGGTTTGGGCCCTCTGAAATTAAAAATTGACCAATTATTCTGTATCCGAAATACTTTTTAACATAAGTTTAAGTTATACCACATGTGGACAATCCCGTGAGTCAATCAGCACTTGATAGTAGGTTTGAACATCGAATGTAACTTCTTTCTTGCCATCGTTTTTTGTGGCATCGGTTTCGATTTTCTTTGCAACTTTCGTTTTTTGTTTTCCATTCTTTGTTTTGGCGTCAGTTCCATTTGTGGCTGTTTCTTCTGTTGGCGTCGTCGTTGTTGTCTCCTCATCGCTAGTCGTTGATGTTGTTGAATCGGTTTCACTGGCATTTGTCGTATTTTCTTCGGTTGATGCATATGTATTTCGATCATAAGTTTTGGCACGCCATGGAAACAGAATTACACCCCGATACCCGAATACACGATGTAGAAAAAATTGTCCCGTTACATAGTTTTCATTTATTTTTGGTGCGGCCAATTTACCCACCTCAGCTAATCTATACAAACAAATAATCGAAAATATTTAATCAATCAAAACTAATCAAATCTATTTTCGGTCTAAAACATGTCATCAACATTGTTGTTGAACTATATCAAAACAAAACTTATGTAACACAATTTGCGCAAAATGTCAAACAGTGCAAATTGTTTATTCTCAGCACAGAGTATCAGCTGGCCTTCCAAGGACGTTTTGAATTACGTCTCGAATCAATTTTGAATTGAATCACACTTTTTTTTTGCGATGCAGTTTTGTGCTTACCTTGCATTTCGAGATGGTTGCGTGGACAAATATTTTACACCTGATACAATATTGCTTGCTAAACACCTTGAATGTATTAGACTTTTGTAGCAACTCAATGCAATCATTATAATACAATATTAAATCGACTAGAATTGTACAAGCCTAATTTTATTTACTAAATAAATTGGTTTTACTCAAACAATTGTTTCGAGCAAGATTTTAGCGCTGTCGGACGATGGTTCTGTCGGCCACTAAACTGTTTTCTATCGTTGACAACGATAAGATGCAGAGCCAATTTATTTATTTTTTTTTTCTGATTCGGAAATGTGAATATATCGCATGGTGAAACGTCAGACTGACAATTAATGTCGAATTTCATCGGAGCGCGAAATACATTCACCAATAAATGTCGTCGTACATTTGACAACATTTGACAAATAACTTGACATTAGACTTTTTGAGCAAATTCAATATTCAAATTGATTTCGGTTGGCATCATTCGTTCAATTTTAATATTGAATATTTTTTAGATGAATTAAGATTTATTTTATTATTCTAATTTTAAATTATTCATTTGAATCGTTTTTCACGTGAAAACACGGTTTATTTGTTGTAATACTTTATGTCTACTACTTTTTCTCCGCAACGATTCATTTTTTCTACAATATTTGTTTTCCATATTTTTGGGGGATGAGATACAGATAACTATTCAACCATTTTATCGATAATTGTTTGAAATTAACACGTCTGATATTGGTTAATCGGTGTAAAGTGGAGGATCTAAAAAGGCGAAAAATCAACAACTAATTTATTACCACTATAACTCTTCCTCCAAAAATACAATTCAAATTCTTATTTTTTTTGGGATGATTGGAGATGAATTGAAGAAAGAAAGAATGAACACAAATTTTACTAAATATTCATAAAACCTCAAAAATAATATTTTGGTATTTATAAAAAGAAATAAAAAGGAACTTACATCCGTAACTTTTCCGCACTGTTTCCAAATTTCTTTCTTTAGCGAACCAATATTAATTTTCCGAAATATATTGAACATACACTGGTAGTAGGCATTTTTCGTGCTCAAACCAATTTACCACGCTCCTCATTCTTCATAGCCGCCTTTGTTCATTACCAATTTAATTTTATATTTCAATTTCGTCAACTTTACCGATTTGAACCAATAGCCGATTAAAAAATGTTGTTCATGAGGTCAATTTAATAGGTCCAAAAAGTCTTTCGAAAACTCTTTACATAACAGATTGATTTGACTTCAAATACATCCAATATCGTCTGAAATAGTTGAAATTATATGGACATTTGGATTACGTACGAGAAATTCACGAGGCATCTTTTGATTTGAATTCACCACAAAAGCTTAAATTTAACGCTCAAACTTAATTCGAACAAGCAAACTGATCCGCTGTGGTATCGAGATCACTTCCAATCAATTCAAACATCAGCTCAGCTGCTTTTATGCGACGTAATCCTACAACTACATCGACACAGCACAAAGGCGCAACTCTTTCGTGTATCGTCATTTTTCGTCGCCATCTTCGACTGTGTAGAGCTAAAATTTTGCATAGATTTTTATCATAGTTAAATCGTATTAATTTCGGAGTTATCATCAAGAAATTAACTTAGACGAGATTAAATAAAATCAAACAAAGTAAAAATAACACCTCAAATAACTTAAGCAGATTAATTGGACTTTTTTCAAAGAAACACACCTTAAAATTGAACAATGTGAGTATACATACATTTTATTTAGGTTTAAGCAACATGGCATTTTATTAAGTTAAGCATAAAAATAATCAGAAATTTCATAATAATTTCTCAATTGTAATTGATGTCAATACTTTACAAAATTTCTATCAATTGTGTGTTCTCATGAAGCTATAGCTATTACAATTAATGTTCTAACCTCATTGAAAATTTTCTTTTGAAAGTTCTTTGCGAAAATGTGTGAATGTTTTAGTCACATATTGTTCATTGAATGTATCTAATTGGATGTTTTGTTTTGTGGTTAATTTGAGTTTTTTTCACTTTCCTCACAGAAAATGGCGGATCAAAAAGCAAATTTGGGAGTAAAGCGTCAACCAGAAGGAACAAACGAACCAGAGCCAAAGTATCCACGAACTGGCTCAGTAACCAATACAAAGAAACTGACGGATGTAGTTGATGATTGTCTAGAGCGAATCTTTATGCATTTGAGTGTGGAAGATCTCTTGAACATTGCCCATACAAACAAACAACTTATACCGGCCGCTGACTTGGCATTCCAGCGAAAATTTGGCAAAATGGAATTTCAACTAAATAACAAGAGATATTATTATTCAAGCGGCGACAATATTAAAATCAACGACAAGAAAACTCAATTGCGATTGTTACGTTGTTTTGGACATTTTATCACAAAGCTGGACCTACAACAATCTGATGAATTTGGCAAGAAGTTGGTTGACTATGCAAATGAATACTGTTTTGAATCGTTAACTGCCATCAAGATTCGTTGGCTTTACATCAGAAACGATATGCTGCAAAAGCCATTTTCAAACATTGAAGTTGTTGAATTGAAAGAATGCAAATTGTATGCAGATACGAATTTTAAGAAATGGTTTCCGGCAATGCGTCGTTTGGAATTGAATTGGTCTTCGCCATTTACCAAAGGAATGTTCATCGTGAAGAATATACCACAATTGGAACATTTGGCAATTCATTGTAACCGCAATAAACCCTCGGAAAATATTTGTACTTCCTTGCGAAATAATCCACAACTTCGCAGCGTATATTTGTGGGTGTATCGTCTACCAAAAGATTTCTGGAACACATGTCAAACACTTGCTCAATTGGAATGTCTTAAGATTTATTCCAATGCCAACTTTGCACATGTTGACACTGTAATCAATTTTCATGCGTTGAAAAAACTGGATATTCACACTGAAGAGAATGATCTACGTTTGATGGCTTTAGAAGAAAATGTGATAACGTTTGATCAGCTTAAAGATATCACATTACATTACAAATTTGATTTGTTGCCGTCGATTGACTCACACAAATGGTCGAACTTCTTCAAGAGAAATCAGTCGATCGAAAAAGTTACATTGTGGTCATTTATTACCAGCGAGACCAGCGTTACCATTATGACTGAAGCTGTACAGAATTTGCCACTTCTGAAGGAATTCAACCATTTCGGATATGGTTACACGGTTAATGAGATACTTCGTTCCATCGGAAAATTCAGTTTGTTGAGCTATGGTTTCCAACTCAATCGCGATTCCTTTTTCGATGATTTGAAAAAGCGTCTGGGCGCAGAATTTCATGCATCGATATGTGAACATGAGCATAAATCTTCGCCTGGTTCGCGTATAAAAGTCAATCGCAGGTAGTGACACATCCAGAACTCAACTTCAATGCAAACAGTTTAGAAACTAAGCGAGCAACATTTTAATTAACAATGAAAATGAAATTGCGTCGCAATTTTGATATTATTTTACGACAATTTTCTCAAAACTATAGAATTATCTTTTTTCACCATTTTTCATTTAGTTTATAAGTTACAATTAAATGTTGAATTCAAACAACTATATTGATAAACCATATTTTGACTCAATAAAGTTTTAAGCTTCGAAAAGCTTAACTTATTTCATTGAAAAACTGTACGTATGTGGTGGCTATAACAAATCGTTTGAAAACTGACTTTTCAATTTGAATTCATCGCCAAACAACAAAGGTAATATAATATCGATTCGAATATGCAAACTGATCCGCTGTGGTAGTGAGACCACTTCCAATCAATTCGAACATCGGCTCAGTTGGTCTGTTTTTGTGCACTACAGTGACATCGATACAGCACAACGGATCAAGTCATTCTTATCGTCATTTCTCGTCGCCATTTTCAATTGTGTTTAGCTAAAATCTTAAATACATTTTCATCATCGTTAAAGATAAGATTTTCTGCAAATATTTAGTTTAGACAACGAAGTTAAAATAACAACTGAAACAAATTGAACCAATTTTTCGTTATTGTTCCAATACATTCCACTACAGTGAGTGCAGAATAAATTATCTTTTTTGACATTTTCATATGGCTTTAACGCTCCTTCAAGACGAACAATGTGAGTATACATTTTATTTGGATTAATATTAATTTGTTAAAGTTCTATGGACCTTTGAAAGCAGAAAGTATTTAAAATCAGCTTGGTATTTTTTTCAATTTTGCATAAACATAGTCAGATATTTCCAAACAATTTCTTCATTTTGAGATATGTCAACACTTCACGAAGTTTGTATCAAAATTGTGTCGTTATGAAGTTATAGCTATTGCAATTCTAACTTCATTGAAAGAAACTTGTTTGCTAAAATGTGTGAATGTTTTGGTCACATGTTGTTGATAGAATGCATGTAATTTTAAGTTTTGTGATTTATTTGTATATTTTCATTTTTCTCGCAGAAAATGGCTAATCGAAAATCAAATTTGAAATTAAAACGTCGATCAAAAGAAACAAACGAGCCAGAGTCAAAGCATCCACGAATTGACGACGGTGACGGCCCAGCAACCAATACAAAGAAGCTGACGGATGTGGTGGATGATTGCCTTGAGCGAATCTTTATGCATCTGAGCCTCGAAGACCTGTTGAACATTGCCGATACAAACAAAAAACTGAAGCCGGCCGCTGACATGGCATTCCAGCGTAAATTTTGCAAAATGGAATTTTCACTACGCAAAGTTAAATGGCTAGACAAATCAACTAATATCGGTGAATTCATTCAAATCACCGATAAGAAAACCCAGATGCATTTGTTGCGGTGCTTTGGTCATTCGATCACCAAGCTGGATATACGACATTCTTGGGTATTTGGCAAGAGGCTAATCAGCTATGCAAATGAATACTGTTTCGATTCGTTAACTGCCATCAAGATTGTTGGGTTTGATTACATAAGAAACAGCATGCTGAAAAAACCATTTACAAATATTGAAGTCGTTAAATTTTACCTTTGCAAATTGTATGCAGATACGAATTTAAAGAGATGGTTTCCGTCATTAAGACATTTGGAATTACCCTGTTCTACGTTTACAAATGGAATGTTCATCGTGAAGAAACTACCACATTTGGAACATTTGAAAATGGATGGCAACTATCGTATGCCAGCCGAAAATATTTGCATCTCCTTGCGAAATAATCCAAAATTACGAAGCTTATCACTGACTGGTATTGTCCCACCCAAAGGTTTCTGGAACACATGCCAAACACTTGCACAATTAGAATGTCTCCGGATTCAGTCGTATGCTAACTTCAAACATGTTGACACTTCAATCAATTTACCTACGTTGGAGAAACTGGATATTCGCATTGGGAAAAATGATCAACGTTTGATGACATCAAAAGAAAATATAATAACGTTTGGTCATCTTAAAGATCTCACATTGAAATGCACGGGTACTGATTGGCTGCCATCGATTAATTCACACAAATGGTCGAACTTCTTCAAGAGAAATCAATCAATCGAAAAAGTTACCTTGCAATTCTTCAACACCGACATAAGCATTTGCGAAACCATCATGGCTGAAGCTGCACAAGAATTGACATTGCTGAAAGAATTAAACATTTTGGGTCATTGTTTGACTCAGTTGACCAAATACTTCCTTTCATCGAAAAATTTAATTTGATGGGCTATTTTTTCGAACTGAAAAACGAGAATGAATTCGACAATCTGAAAGAGCGTCTGGGCGTAGAATGGAATGCATCAATTGATAATTCACGATATAGATCAAATTATAGTTTGTGCATTAAAGTTAATCGAAAGTTGTGACGGTTGACTTCCATAATTCTTCAAAACAAGCCGTTTAGAAGTTAAGCGATCGGTAACATTTAAATTAAGAATTAAAATGAAATTACTCCACAATTTTGATATTTTTTAAAGACAGATTTCTCAAAAACAATTATTATTTTTTTAATTTCCATTCGTATGTTCATAAATTACATCTAATGTTCAATTCAGAGATACTACAATAATAAACAATATTTTGTCTCAATAAATTAATCTTCAAAAGCTACTTATTTCATTGAAAAACTGTCCACGAGTAGTGGCTACTGACTGTCGACAATACACACACGCTGCGGTGTTAAGTATAGTGCACATATGTAGAGCTAATAGAGCTGTCTCAAAAACAAAAAAGACTACATTTAAAAATTATATTTTTTAATTATATTTAAGAAATTTACTGAAATCAATAACTAAATAAATGTCCAATATCAATCATTTTATTTCCTTTTTCACATCAATAAACATTTCATTGACAAGAAAACATTATACGAATCATTTAAAAAGTACAATTTCAATTTGAATTCATAGAAGATCTGTAAGGCTATAGAATTCAATCAATTTAGTTTTTCAAACACTGATAAAAAATTGGATAGAAATTCACGAGTGCTATGAAGCCCAAATGTATCGAAGTGCAGCCGCATCTTCAATGTTGACCTTTGAGTATTATCCATTACAAGTAAAGGAAGCAGAGGCTTTAATCTATTTTCAACCTTTATTAAATAAAAGACTTTTAAAATCATTTTGAAACTTCTTAAATAGTTTTATGATTCCAAACTTTTGTTCACAAAAATGATTATGATGATAATTAGAAGACAACTGCTCTTTGTGCTCTTTGAATTCACAAGTACAGATAATAATAACAGTTTGTGTAATAGAAAAATAATGAGCATAAAACCCTTTACTTTTGAAAGCTAATCAACATGAATTTTAAAACTATTTACATCTTTCTGATCAACAATTACAAGATCACAACTGGTGAACATTGCAATAAAAGATAAACTGATTGATAATATTTTTAAGACATAACTTAATCATGTAGATAGATGTTGATAGAAACCATATCGTATACATGAGGATTCCATTCATACGAATCCTTTCACCTCATTTCGATGAATGTCAAATTCGTGTCACTGTTTCTGTTGGTTCACTTAGTAGTCAAAAAGACATCATCTCGCGTATAGATTATTATTTTTTGTGCTCCGACTAATTTGGTACGTTCTGCATTCAACATTGCCAAATTCAAAACTTCACCTTCGTACTTTGGTATGAATTTGATTTTGTTCAATTTCGGTGATCGACGAATGAATGGCATATTGTCATCGATGGTACCCTCATCAATGTAAAGACGTTCAAGTTTTGTCAGGCCATTTGATAAAATCTCTATCTCCTTGGCATTCCATCCATGCAAAATCATTAATTCTCTCAGATCAGTCAGTTGAGCTATAACTCTTTATAACTATAGCTCGAGACCTTTGACCGAGGTTAATGAAGTGCTGTTCTCTTTGTCAACTTCATGGGCGTAAATGTATAGTCGCTTATAAAAGCCTTGTTCATGGAGTCGATTTAATAATTCCCAAAGATTTTTGAATGTCTGGATCCCATCTGATGTATACAGCGTATCACAGTAAAATTCTTTGAATTCCATGTCAGCGTTATGGCACAAACAATTTACAGTAGTTGAAAAACTCTGTACATTTGGATTGCGTTCGAAAAATTCAGGTAACTGCTCAAATAGATAAAAACCATAAGAACGTTCAAGCTTTGGATATTTTTATAGCAGTCTTTTTATGTGATTACCGGTGATCGACTGTTGAATATAAATTTCTCTCAAATTCTTACAATATTTCAACATCAAGTCGTATGAGTCACCCATTGGGGTGGTTTTTTTTGGTCATTTTTCGGAATTTGTTGGGCAAATAGTTTTTTTGCATCTATTAGACGTCAGAAACAACATACCGCTGTAATTTATGGTTTGCTTCTCACCAGTAGGTAGCGCAAGAGATATCTCGATTCCATAATGGATCCCTTGGAACATTAGACTTTGTGATAATATAATAAAGAGGCTTACGTACGCAAGCTGACTTTTCCGCATGGAACTGAAATTTGAAGAATAAACTGAAATTATGGTCTATGTATGGTTGCAGTAACTTAAATTACCGTGAAAACTTGTGAATATTATTTTCTTATCAAAATAAATAATCACACCAAGTTTAAAGAAATTTCAATCAAACAAAATAGCCTGTTCAAAGTGTCACATCATTACGGTACCACAAAGGCATGTCTTTCATACAAAAATGAAATTTTTTGTGGATTTTTGTATGAAAAGTCTGTGAAAAACTGATTGCATCTTAAAACTAACATCAGATTCGGGTTTCTCGTGCCAAAAAAATCTCCACTACATATTCTTTCAGCGTTCAAATTGAAAGAATATCGTTTTAAGTTTTACACCGATCAATCAATGTCAACACGCCACAGGACACAGGACACATCACACACAGCGACGCACATTAATATGCCCCAAAATCATCTCCAATCGTGTTTTCTACATTAAATATGCATAGAAAACATGTTTTTGAATGACTTTAATTTTTTGGCATAATACAAAACCTTTCCTATACTAGGTGTGCGGAAAAGTAAAAAAATTCTAGAAATACATTTTTATTGAGAATCAGAAATAAAGATATACTTGAATTTATTTGGAAAATGTATCCTGTAGTTTTCATTTTAATTATTCACACAGAGTGTGCCATTAGTTTCATAATTTCATCGAGAAACACTTGAAACGAGTGGAAACGATGAACGCGAAGAAAACAGGAAAAAAAAACGATAGAAAACGTCAGATTAAAGTGAAAAAAGTGTCAAAACCACATCTGTCCGATTGTCAATGTCTCTGTTGATTACTTCGTCTTATAAATAACAAAATATTATTTTTGAGATCTTTGAAAAGGTAAATACAATTTGTGGTAATTCTTTCTTTTTAAGCATCAATTAAAAGTTTAAATTCTCATGAAAAACAAATTCATGTCGACTGTCGATGTTTCTGTGTAATTGATCGTAAAGTGTTTGCTTCAAAAAATACTAATTGTCATTTTATTGTTCTATTCGTATGCAGTTCGCTATGAGTAATCCACAAGAAATACCGAAATTGTCACACTCTGATGACCAGAATCATAATGAAGATGCAATCGCTGGCCCATCAAATATGGAATCCCCGCCGAAAATATTCAAATTGAACATCGATTGCTTTGACGAGATATTTGAATATTTGAACGTGAGAGACTTGCATTCATTCGGTCTAACATGTAAGCGTTTGAACAAAGTGGCCGGCGAATACTTCAAACAAAATTATTCATCGGCTCATATAATGTGTGACAACGATGGAGTTTACATGTGTGATTGGGATAAAGATGACATAAAAGACCGTATATTTGGTTTTAATAAGTTCATTCCGTGTATTTCATATTTTTATGACGATTTCAGCCGCTTTACATATACTAAATCTCATATCAATGAGTTTGAGTCAGTTAATAAAATTTATCTAGCGGAAATAGATATTTATAACGAAACAGTTGAGCATTTTAAACAACTTTTGCCCCAACTAGAAATTATACAACACGAATATTGTTCAGTAGATGGTGACTTTTACGATTTGATATTGAAATATTGTAAGAATTTGAGAGAGATTTATGTTCAGAATTCGGATGTTGGTAACCGAATAAATGGTAAACTCAACTGGTTATTACAAAAATATCCCAAGCTTGAACGTTTCGAATTGAGGCCTTGTTTTTCTCGAATTGAAGAGCTAAGTGATTTTTTCATCAACCATCCAAATTTGCAAAGATTTTCAACAACTACAAAACTTTTGTGGGACAACGCTGACATACTTTTAAATTCCAATGCAAAATTGGATATATTGGAACTCGGGGGATTTTACTTTCATATGCCTTCATCATATGAAATACAACCGTTGAAAATTTTGACCGACTTAATAAATCGACTCCATGAACAAGGCTTCTATAAGCGACTATACATTCACACCAATAGATTAAACGAAGAGAACAGCACTTCATTAGCCTCACTTAAAGGTCTTGAGTTATTGTACATTTTGTCATCCGAGAAGAGTTATAATTTAGCTCAATTGACCAATCTGAGAGAATTAATGATTTTGGATGGATCGAAAGCCAAGGATATGGAAATTGTAGCAAATGGACTGATGAAACTCGAACGTCTTTACATTGAGGAGGCTAATATCGATGACATTATGCCATTCATTCGTCGATCACCGAAATTGAACAAAATCAAATTTAAGCCTAAAGACAGAGATGTAGTTTTAAATGTGGCACTGTTGAATAGTGAACGTACCAAGTTGGCTGGAGCACGAAAAATAACAATTTATGCGCAGGATGATGTCTTTTTAGCTACTAAATGGACGACCAGAAACGGTGACACCAATTTGAGCCTCATCGAAATGAGACGAGCGGATTCGATGGAATGGGATCCTTTTTAATGAATATAATTTTCAGAATAGAAAATGTTTATTCAAACTATCAATCAGTTCAATATTCCATTTGAATTTAAAAATAAAATCAGATTCGTTTTTAAGAAAACGCTATATTTTCTCAACTTATGAATTGAAAAACTACAGAATTAAATCCATAGTCTAAGTAAAATTTTGAATAAAGAGCAATCAAATCACAAAACGTCCTTACGTGCGTCTTTTTCTCTTTGAAAATGTTATTTAAATATTACAGTACAGTACCGTTTGTAGAAACTATTCCAAATGAAGTTAAAGAATGAAACGAATGAATATCTTTCCTAATCTTCTGAAACAACATCATTATTTTTGATGTTGTCTTGATGAGATTGTAGAATGTTGCTGGTGTTTCACCACAGGTTCCAATCTTTAAAATGCCAAATAGTTTCTTTCATTTTCTTGATTTTATTGTGACACACAACATGAGCAACAATTGTGACCAAAGCACAAAAACACGCATTACTTTAAAAACATCGAAATCCAATTTATAACACTGTTCTGTTTTGATTTTTATTAAAGTGAGAAATTTCATCAAAAAGTACAAAAAATAAAATGTGATACATACGTAAGATGATCTTTTCCGCA